GATTTCGTATGCCAATCCTTCCAGGTCATTATTCGTTGGTGAGTCTTCTTTTACTGCAACAGAAAGAACACAACACACCCGAATAAAAAAGTCTACCTTCAAAAAATTGAGTCGATCTGATTTCCACAGGGTTTCAGGGATTGTTATTCCGCCAAACGAGAAACAGATGTCCTTAAAATAACGAAATTTTTGCCTGCATTTGATTTGCTATGCGGTTCAAGACTGATACTTAAACAAAGATTTCTTACGTGAAGTAATTACAGCCTCATATTTTCAACGAGATGGGAACAGAGAAAACTCGAATCAGAAAACCTGAAACTGGTACGCTTCGTAAACAACTCATGATCAGGCGGCGCTGCACTATTCTGCCAAGTTATATTGCTTTTATGTGGACGATGCAACCCTTTGCTTTGATACAGCAACATGAGGATAAGAGGATGATATGTTAAATAAATTGTAGATTGAAGTTCAAATGCGAAACAGTTGCGTTTGCGTGTGTATGTGTACATTTCCGGTTAATTAACGGTACCGTCGAATCGGTGCATTTTCATGTAACTTTCAAATGGCTTTAAAGAACGAACGGGGAATCGGAAAGCAGGGAACGGGGAACGGAGAATCTTTAAAATGAGGAATCTTTAAAATGCGGAATCTCTGAAATAGGGAATCTTTAAAATGGGGAATCTTTAAAATGGGGAATCTTTAAAATGAGGAATCTTTAAAATGGGAATCTTTAAAATGGGGAATCTTTACTGAAAAGTGAGCGAGAATCTTCCAGTTCCGCACCGGAAGGTATTTATTCTGTTACATTTATCAACTCAACAGGTACATACACAGTTGTGGAATTTACTTATTGTAATTATATTGCACGCTGAAGCACATCGGTTTAGCGGGATAGTGGAGGGGTTCAAATCTCGATTCTCACTCTCTCAGATCCGCTACACTTACTGAAGAATCGAGCCGCCTCGATTCGGACTTTGACGTTTTTAAATTGAGTTTCGTAGCGATAGATATTTGGCCTAGCCTTTTCATGTGCTAATGGAAAGTCTTACGACTTTACAACAAATATATGGCAAGTAAAACACATTTTTGTTTATTTAAGCGATAAATCAACAGTCCCGCTGGTGCGGATCTGGTTTTCACATGACGTCACTAAAATTCAAACTACAAAACTATTGATCCTCCTGAGATTTTACTTTCATGATGTATAAGAGCAGCCGAAAATTAATATTCATACAAATTTTCGCTCCGAATGGGCTCTTGGTTTTGTGACAGACTATGCTTGAATTTCTGAGCCATTTACATGACGGCCGAGAAAGCTGTCACGGAGGTTAAAAAAATGACTTAATTCGGGGAATTTGGCTATCTGAACAATTCTTGTATTAGAAAAAGTGTTATTTTAATGTTTTCGAGTTCTTCGAGAGATAAATTCACACTACTCTAACAAAAATCAGTGACAGATGTTTCTGTTGGTTTCTGGCCGCCATGTTGGTGCACATGCGGATGCGCATTAGCATGGCATCTCCATAAAAATCTATATAAATTTGGGTAAAAATGTCTCCGCATATCTTCCATAAAAAAAATTGCCGTGACCTGAATCTCAGCGAGAGTCTTTGCATATTCACCTTCTTTCTTTTCCCAGATTCTGCACTTTTTCTACGGAACGATTTTCTTATTTTGATCTATTTCAAATGTCCGAACGATGTGGCGGCGGTGTTGTGTGACGTATTAGCTTACTTTTTAAGTTAAGAGTTGAGGAGAATTTACTATTCCTTGACAAATTATATCCTATCTTACTTACAAACTCTCATCTGTTGGCTGTTCGAGATTTTGGCGGGAATTTCGCGTATAATCCGTCATTGTTTGCTTCATGATAACCCTTTCTACGCCATGCGGTCTTGCGAAGACAATTTTAAAGTGCCCATTGCATTCACGTTAACGAAAAAAAGCATCGGTCGCTTTGAAGGTCTTCCACAGTTTAAGTGGAATGATCTCCGCAAACAAGATGTAATTTTTATCACAAAATACACCAGGAACAAGGACGGAGATTCGGCCAGGAAAGTCGAAACAGTGGTCGTCAAGAAATTGCTCGAGTCTTCACCTGCTTCTAAAGATTCCCATTTTAAAGGTTACTGCTTCTAAAGATTCCCCATTTTAAAGATTCTCGCTTTTAAAGATTCCCCATTTTAACGATTTCCGCTTTTAAAAATTCCCCATTTTAATAACGATTCAGGCTTTTAAAGATTCCCCATTTTAAAGACTCCCGCCGTTGAAGATTCCGCATTTTTAAGATTCCCGCTTTTGAAGATTCCCCTTTTATAGATTCCCACTTTTAAAAATTCCCCATTTTAATAACGATTCCCGCTTTTAAAGATTCCTCATTTTAAAGATTTCCGCTTTTGAAGACTCCCCAGTTTAAAGATTGCCAGTTCCCCATTCCCATTCCCCATTCCCCATTCCCATTCCGCTATTCCCCTTCCCCGTTTTTAAGATAGCCACTTTCAAATTTGATTGAATCGCACAAAATCACTTTGCCAAAAAATCCTTTGCAGAGCGAAAAGAACCACTCATCACCTTCCAAAAGCCAGATTTTGAGACAAATATTAACTATTTTTAGTCTAGTTAAAAGTAGGTCGGATGAATTTAATTAGATTTTGGAAATATATCGACAAGAATTGCTCAAATTGCTCTCAATGTTTTGATATTTCATAGTGTTTACTGGAGTACTCTGTAAAACGGGGATGCGGATGGCGGACGGCGGACAATGAAAAAATGATATTAAGAAAATAATGTTAGGAAAGTTTCGAAAATTGCAAAAATGTTCACATTCTTGAGCTTATATACGAGTTTATCACTAAAGATATTGACCTGAAGACAGCGTTTTGATAACTTTCAGAAATCCTCGGAAATTCTAGAAATACGACTTTAATATATAATCCCTGTATCCTTCCTGTATCTTTTTTAATTCGTGATTTTTGACTTAAGGACGTTCGCGCGAATTCTTTCTGCGCATCGTTACTGCGCACGAAAATTCACACGCCACATCATGCATGAGAGCGCGTGCTAAGTAATAAAATGAACAATGATAGGACAGATGGCCATTGCTGTAGCTTTGCCTAAATTTAGCGATCTTGGACTTTCGATGACCCCTACTTTTCTTTCCGGAAAAAGATTTTATTTACAATTATCTCCCCATTGTCAAAAAATGAACAAAAATTCAATGTGGGAAGTTAAAAAAAATTCAAGATTTCTGTCCACGGGACATCGAATCCTGCCATCTTGCGGCTGCGTGAAACTATGGTCACTAAATGAGAACTTAAGCTTGTTCTTTGAGGAACCTCACCAGTTGACTAAATTCACTTAATAGGTCCACTTAAACGATATTTGGCAGAGAACATTTCCTTCAAAGATCTGATTGCAATATTTTTGGGCTTACAGATAGTGTGGCCTTATTCGTTAACGAAGCCCGATTTTTTTCAGATTTAGGGTGTTCTTCCGTGCATGTTCTCTCCAAAACAAAGTCAATGACCCCGCATTTTTTGTGCATCTCTGACGTAACTAACTCATCGTCGTACAGTGATAAAAGTCCCAGAAAAAATCAATGTTGGAAAATTTTCGCGCGAACGTCCTTAAGAGGAAAGGGAAGATACTGGTTACTGGACTGGTATCTCCAGAACAAATTTAAACTCGAACAAACAATATCCCTGCCATCTTATAACGTCCTATCAGTTTATTTTGTGACCAGGCAAATAACTGCATCCTAACAAAAGAGGGACCTAGCCCTCTCAAAAACGAATTTGAAAACAGAGAAAATAAAAACAATGAAGACCACAACATGGAGCTGGAGGAACAATCAGAGTAAGAACTTCAAAATTCAGAGCTGGAAGACAACGCTTTCCCTGAACTGCAAACCACACAATATCATATACAACACGCAAAACAGTCGACAGACTTGCGCGTGAACATCTATATTTGCAGTGCCAGAAGGAGCAAACTGGAGATATAAACCTAAACATCAAGCTCCAGAGACGAAAAGCCTGATGAATTGATGCAAGAAACATAAGAACGTCTCTCTAAGACAATCTTATAGTTTCCAAAAGGAAAGCGACAGCTATCTCTGGCGAAGCCGGACAAAGATAAATACATGGTAAATATGGCAACCATGATAAGAAGCAGCACAGTACTTGCGTCAGGCGAATCAAACAGCCGGGCTCGGCGGGTCAACACGAAATGCAAGTAACCAACATGTTCACGGAATATTTCAAACTTTGTCCCTCCTGAGCTAATATCTAGAGAGCTTAAAACACATCTTGCAAAATTAATGAGCCTAAAAATACCTAGAACATAGCAAATTACGGAGTTGTCAAACTCTACAAATTACACGCAAACAACAGCGGAAACCATGCAAACTTTGACTTTTAGAATGCCACGCAACGCTCCCTCTACTCCGGTAAAATGTCTCCTAATAACACAGCATAAAGTGCCCTTCAGAAACAAGTGCGAGTGAAAAAATAGGTCGCGATACCGAGAAGCGTGAGAGTAGTCCTCCCTTGAAGTCATCCTCATTTAACTCTAGCATCTAATCCAAAATCAACCATTGCTTAGCGAAATATTCAAAGATCCCCCTATCGTACCATATAAAAGGGGCCTTAGGGATATACTCGTGCGAACAAAGCCTTAAAAGCGGCTATTACACGTGGATAGGAGTTGTGAAGGCCTGTCACCCTATTGTTATCACCCATGATCTTATCGTAAACGAATTTTGCGCACCCCAAAAACAGATCTTCTGTTATCAGGAGTTAGATATGAACTTCGAGCTAGCGACCTTTGACAGGGAGAAGTGACAACACTAATACATTTGATTGGTTTACAAATTTTAAAAAAGACGAACTATTGATTGGACGTTATACGTTCTACATGTTCTATGGTAACCGATCAATAGCGCGAGTTTCTGAGTAAAATGTTGTTAGTTAATGAAAGTTATCAAAACGCTGTCTTCAGGTCAATATCTTCAGTGATAAACTCGTATATAAGCTCAAGAATATGAACATTTTTGCAATTTTCGAAACTTTCCCAACATACAACGAGTTCCTCAATATATTTCGACAAATAGTGATGTGGTTTTTCATTTTACTATTTTTATTTTATTTTATTTTTTTCTGATTGTCCGCCGTCCGTCATCCACCGTCCGCATCCTCATTTTACTGAGTCCCGTTTATCGGTCTGGGTAGTGTCATTTTGTGACGCGAAGCTTCGAGATTCGTCTTAAATTTTGAGCGCCAAAAGCGGCATTTTGACGGAATTTGGTTATTTACGATTTTCTCGTAAACAAATCGATATTCAGCCAAACGAAGTATGTTGCGAATCGTTTCACACTAACGCCTACCTAACCTGAAAATAGAAGCCAAATTGATTTTTTGGCTGTTGCCGTCATGTTTCACCATTGGCAGCATTCGCTCTTAAAAAGGAAAAAAATAAACAAAAACAAAACGAGATGTTGTTTAGGAATTTTCTTGGTGTTTCCACAACATTGCAAAATCTTTTGGATTTACTTCTAGGAAGATCAACGGAGACTCTGCTTGCAGGGTAGAGTTACAAATACAACAGTTTTTAATAGTGAAGCGCTGAAATGAATCTGTTGCGGCCGCTCTGAGTGTGAAAGTATGTTGCCCCTTAATTAGGATTCTTATTGTTAGAAATATTACCTGCTAGGCGCTCAGCCGTGAGTTTAGGACGTTTTGAACTGGTACATGGAGCTTCTTTCCTTCGCTTTAGAGAAGTCTCTAGAAAAGATAAGGCAGAATTGACGTACAAATAATTTAGACAGAAAAGTGAATGAGCAATAAGCAGGTTTCGAAAGGCTAACAACAACTAAAATATTTAACGCACTTGAATTAAAGTAAATTCAGTACTACTCCAACTTAGCTCTATGACTTATTATTAAAACTCTTGTTCCGTATAAACTAATTTAGATTACTCACATCAACAAAAACGAATGGTTATTTAATCAAAGGTGATCGTTTATCCTGGATGATCTTTATCTTGAATATTGATTTCAGGCTACCATAATGATAATTGAAAGCTTAAGGTGAATGAGCTCGTACATGTACATCAACCTATCACAATGCTACTCAAACTGCGATCACTTAATTTCCCTGCCAGATCCTTTTGGACGGGAAAGGCTAAAACTGTTAAAGTCAGATTCGTAATATAACTTGTGAGTACAAGTAATCGTATGAATGCGAGTGCAATTAAGGATTTACACTAAGAGTAATATTTAAAAATTCTCTCAAAATTGCACGAGCCCTTAGGCGGGTACAATTTAAAAGAATTTTCAAATATCACGAGTAGTGTAAATCCTTAATTGCTCCAACTTTCATACAATTACTCATTTACTATATGACTGAGAAAATCGCGAACGCGCGCGCGTCAATTTGCAGTGCAGTGCAAATTAAGAATTAACGATAAATTGGGCAGCCCTCAGCCAATCACAGTGATGTAATTTTCTCAGTCATATTATCACCTTGGGTCCTGGCCTTTCTGTGGTAGTTTCCTGTTTTCCTAAGGACAACTTTAAAAGTCCGACAGAGGTAATCCCTAAGGAATTCCTAATTCATGTTCCAGAACTCCAGAAATGAATAGTTCTGACTATTCTCACTGGGGACATAAGAAATCCCTTTCTCCTTATTTACAAGAATTTAAGGCTATTTCAGTTTGCTTCTGTATCTTATGGAAATGTTTGCTATTCAAATTATGCACTGTGTTGTTCAAGGCTGGTTTCCATATGATCGCTACGATCAATGCGATCATTCCGAGACGATCGCTACAGAAAACGTTGCGCGATCCTTACGACTGCCGTTATAACATACGATCGCTACGATCGTCGAGACAGAACTTCAGTCTATCTCAGTGATTGGTTGTGGCAACGATCACTATGATCGCTGGAGAGTTGTTTCCATATGATGAAACGATCGCTGAACTTTTCTTTAGCAGCAATAGTAGCGATAATATGGAAATCATCCATTAGAAATGCAAATGACAACTGAGAAACATTACCAGTAAAAATTAAAACTAATCACTTGGTGAGGACCACGTCCAATGAAATGAACTTCACTACGACTGCGAAAGTCTTGCACATTGGTCAGTGGGATCACAAAAAGTTCTAACAGTAAGCGAAGGGGCGATGGAGTGAATGTTCCATTTATACCTACAACTTGGAAAATATTATTTTCCAAGTTAAAAAGGCCAACCCCATTCCAGTGCTCAGGGATACGTTACGACATGAGAATGTCCTCTGCTTTCAAAATTACCTTTGCTGCTAGATTGACGACAACTGGCAGCCTTCTGTGATTAGGCTGACTTACAAGACTCACATAGAAAAAAGCACGTATGATTGACAGAAACCAAATATAGGAGTCATATGTGGTATGGGAGTGTGGTGGCGACCGCAGGCTCAATTCGGCCTTGCTTACCAACACTAAATATCAAGATTCTTTGCCCCATTCCGAAACGGAGGGAATGATAGAGCCTTAAAACTATCAAACTACGTTACCTTGCACATTGCCCAAATTTCCTCCATGATTTTTATCAACCGTCAGCTGTGGAGGAATAAAAACAGGGAAGAAAGATTGCATTCCTTATTACATTCACTGAGCCAATGAATACCGCATGGAAGGTCAGTCACGCATTTAGGACCTGCCATTACAATACAACCGTTTATATGTAATGACAACATACCATAAACTACTTACCTACAAAGCAATCTAAGCCATTAATGTATACTGGATGTATTATACGTTTGCATGAAAACATGAAGACGTTTAAAAAAGGGAAAAAAAAATTTTGTGATAACATCCTATGATGTCCCAAACTTAAATATAATTTTCGTTACTTCTTAAAGAAGCAGGAGTGGCCGACACGAATTAAGCTCATCCTGAACAAAAACCGTTTATATTGATTTTCTCTATTAAAAAAGACAACACAAACAAAAACTGTTTATAAAGCGCCCTTCTAATAACAATTTTAGCGACGTATAGTTAATCCTTAATTACGTGGGGTAAAAAATGCTTTGGACTATTTACCTGATTTTGAGGAGTGGCAAACCATGGTGCGAACTGCTTGATCTCAACTCGGTTGCTCTGTGCAGCTGCTGATTTGGTGCAACAGATGACCTTCTCGACATCGCACAACTGAGACTCAGGCCAGAAGTGCAAGCATACCTCTCGCTTGCAATCCTGTGTAGCATGTAGGTGACAGAACCTAACCGCACCTCCTGGACAACAAACTGGGCAGATGAAGCTGACTTCATATTTCATATTCCGAAGCCAACAGAACTCATTTTGAATGGACTCAAGAATCCGTCCCAGCCGCCTACGCACTGCACGAGCACAGGTGACTTCACACGTGTCATACTTGACATCTGCAGAACAAGAGAACTTTGATTGTAAACTCTCTGCTAAGCCTTGACTCATCCCTTGGTGAACAACAACTTCAATGGAAGATGAATGGCACAGAAGGATTACTGAGCAGTCTTCCTTTTGAGAGGTGTAAAATCTGGCGAAATTGTGGTACAGTTGAGGCTTCCCTTGTTCTTCTTGATCCCACTGAAAGAACTGCAGCACAAGTCGGGGAAACAAACCGGGCGGAACTTGACCAGATTCAAATTTAAGGAATAGTGGAGGAATACGAGCTGATGCAACCAAGTTCATTATCCCCTCGGGTGGATGTGACTTCAACATGGACGGTACCAGGTACTGCTTGCTACATGAAGCATCAGATGAAGGCCAAGAACAAACCAAGCTAAATTTCTCCATGATCGCGA